CCCCTGACGTCCTTCTCTGCCACTCCTGACATCCTCATACAGTACCATAGCTCCTCTCTCAGCACTCTGTCGTATGCTTTCTCTGAATCCACAAAGACACAATGCAGCTCCTTCCGACCATCTCTATACTTCTCCATTAACATTCTCAGAGCAAAAATTGCATCAGTAGTGCTCTTTCTGGGCATGAAGCCATACTGTTGCTCACAGATATCCACTTCCTTTCTTAGCCTAGCTTCCACTACTCTTTCCCATAGCTTCATTGTGTGGCTCATCAACTTTATACCTCTGTAGTTGCTACAACTCTGCACATCACCCTTGTTTTTAAAGATCGGCACTAGTACACTTCTCCTCCATTCCTCAGACATCTTCTCACTCTCTAAAATCCTGTTGACCAAACTAGATAGAAACTCCACTGCTGTCTCTCCTAGACACTTCCACACCTCTACAGGTATGTCATCTGGATCAACAGCCTTTCTACTCTTCATTCTCCTCAGAGCCTTCCTCACCTCATCCTTTCTAATTTTTGCTACTTCCTGCTCTACAGTATTCACCTCTTCCCCTCTTTTTTCCCTCTCATTTTCCTCATTCATCAGCTCCTCAAAATACTCCTTATTTTGAACAAAGAATAAAATTGATGAGATATCACATCAAATAATGTGCTGCTATATTGTTTTCAATGTCATACAGGACACAGATGATTTACAAGTCACTATTTTCAGTTTCAATTTTACATACTGTCCCAACTTTTTCTGATTTAGGGTTGTATATGAGCATATATACTGAACATATAATGTTTTTATTTTATCATAGAGACTGGCTCCATACTGCAGCTTTAGAATTTGTATATTGTCTCTCACCTTAGTTTCTAGTGTGTGGTAACAGTTACACAGAGCAGCTTAGGGAGGAGTTGTCATATCCTCTGCCAAAAAGGCCTGTATATTAACATAATAATAAAAATGTGCAATAAGGCTACATAGAATAAGAAATATCTGCATGTGATAACATGATTTTATCTGCCAGTAGCTTGGTAATCTCTATAGAATGCTCAGCTAGCAGGTATTGTGTATCTCCTGTCTTTTGTTAAACCTTTATTGAAGGTCTGAAATGAATCACAAAATATTTCTTCGTCCTTATGGCGCCCCTCCACATGGTGGCGCCCTAGGCGACTTCCTAGCTCGTTTATACCTAAAAGCGGCCCTTTATCTGTGGTATGTCCATAACAGGGCTGCAGCTGTCGAAGAGCAACAATAACAGGCTCTACACAACAACTTCCCCTCGGCTTTAACGGCACTTGACAGTGCCAGGTACCACCGGACTGCAAAAAAAAATGCGGTTGTCCAAATAACCCTGGTCTCCGTTTCTTTGTCGTCCGAGCCGACAGCTGTGTTAACAAATACGGAGAACCGAGCAGAGTGGGAGCAGGGCTGTTAGGGGCTGCATCTGGGTCAGTGGGCCTGTCGGCGGCTTGTTATCCTTGCAGTGTCCCGCTGCGCCTTCGTTTGTATACTCATCGTGTTACCTGTAGAAACCACGGTAACATGCAGGCTAACGGGGCAGTACAAGACCGAGACTCAGAACGCTCCTGCCGAAACGGCGCAGAGAACGGCGAGGCGTCCTCCGCAGGGGACGCTCACTCCAACGGACGTGTGTCAGTCACCAACAATGGAAACGCTGTCAGCAACAACAACAACAACAACGGATTGCCAGCCCAGCCCGCGTCCAACAACACCAGCAGCACGGCGGATGTCAAAAAGAAGAAACGTCTGTCTCAGCCTGAGGAGGATGTTATCCGACTGATAGGACAACATCTACACGATTTAGGTCTCAAGTAAGTGAGCCAGTTCAACCACTGTGGCATCAGGCAGGCGCGTCTATCCCGCCAGCTGTCCCTTACTCACATCCATCATGCATTACCTCTGGGCATGTTGTCTTCTCGCTGGTGTAGGGCGGAAAACATCTCGAACCTTATCCGAACGGTTTGACGCAGCAATGCGCTCACGCTGAACATCCGAAGTACATGTTAGGAGTCTGTCACGCAGGTGAATTTGATTATATGCAAGCAGGGGCATCTCTAGCAGTTCGAAAGATCAGGGGCTAAAGTCAAGATCACCTGGGGAACGTCTTGGTTTTTTTGTTTGTTTTGAGGGAGG